TGGCGCAGCCCCTGGCCCTGAGCCCGCAGTCTGCCTTCACCCCATGCTTTAATCCATGCCCCCCATGCTTCCCCTGGGGGCGTATGCTCCCAACAGGTAGCCACCCCCTGGAGAAGCTACCCATGGCTCCATCCCACTCCCGGGGTCACATTCATCGCCCTGGCTAAGCACCTGCCCTGCCCCACTCCCTCCCTCCCTCACAGTAGGGACTTCGATCTGCCTGCCCCCCGCCCCGTGCCCCTTCCCTCCCTCATACCCCTTCTCCCCCATAGGCTGCTCTCCAAGCTGCCGGGCTGCATTCCTGGTTGCATGCATGCACACAGCATTTATTGGTGACATTATCAGCTACACTAGCCACAAAAAGCTAATTGCTAATAATGTTCATTTTCCTTTGATCAGTGCTGATCTGATATGCCATGGATGTGTCAGTGCACCTCTAGTGGTAAACTGGGAATTGAATCGCAACCTCCTGATGCTTAGCTGTCAGACCTACCTTTCAAGGAAGCGCTCATTGGCAAAACTTCGCTATTTCATGCATTTTTTGCCAATACAGAAGTCTACATTGGTGCCTTTGAAAGTCTGACTTTATTAAAAAAAAAAAAAAAGCTAAGTCTAGCCATCTTTGTACTTCAGGGAGATGTACCAATATAAATAGGTCGGATACAAACACTGAAAATAAAGGATCAGATTGAATGCAAAATAGAAGATTCCGTATTCAGGTTCCAGCTGTCTCTTGCTAATGGCAGGAGAGAGAACTTAGATTTTCATGCTAAAATTTTAAATGGTTATGCAGCATAAATTAATGCTAAAATATATCATTTATTTAGAGAGATGTTATAAGTAACAAGTAGACAGACTACAGTCAGATGATACAGTCAGGTGTTTTGTGGGAGGTGTATGTGCATGTATGGGGAGATGTTGGGAGGGGGGAGCAGCAGTCCTCTATCCGTAATCACTCTCTTATGGACAGCACCTCTGTTTTCAACTTGTGTATATTATCGTGACACAGCATTTAATACCACTCCAAAGCAACATCAAAGGCCATATTTTCAAACAAAAGTACATCAAGTGTACCCATATTTGTGCATCTAGATGCTTGTATTTTTGTATATAGGGGTTTGGGGGTTTCTTTTTGTTTTTTTTGACAGGTAGAACCAGCTACATTTATGGGGTCTTTCTTTTTTCTTTTTCAAATTCACTCCACCAAACTGCTTTCAAATGTCTAAAAATGGCTCCCATTTCGTACTATAGGCATATCAAACTGCACAATTACAGAGTTAAAAGGTTAGGACTATGTAAAAGCTGCTCTTTGGCTTACGTGAAGTGATTTTTGTCAATCACAATCCAGTTCCTATCAAACAAAAATGTGTATCACCAAATCCAATCCAAAAATCCAATCTCACAACTGTAAATAAGTAAGAGGAGTCGAAGGGTTGAAGATTTTACTCTCTCATTGCTGAAGTGATCAACTCCAGATAAGGTCTGAAACTTCTTGTCATTATGTATAGTGTATGTATGTTCCATGCATACATCACTTTATTCAAGTATCAAATTCTTATAAATGAATTTTATGACATTCCCCACTCTCATATTGCTAAGACCTGGCATGTAGCCATTCTTGGTTTCAGCATCTCATGTTTGATCGTTATTTCCTTGCTGCCTTAATCCTTTCATATGTTTTAAAATTTATCCATAGACTTTTGTGGGGGCACTGCCAACTGCTCTCAAGCTCTTGCAACTCCAAAGTAATTATAACTTTAATTCAATACCTTTCTAGTACTTATTTCCTGTCAATGCTGCAACCATATGCACTCTAAATGCAATGAAAAGATTTTATTTTCCCCAAGGAAGCACTGTAAGTTATGTATTTCATGTTTACAAAGCAGCTTTTGTTCAACGAGAGGCACTCTTTTAATATGGATGAACCTCTACTACAAATCCACTTAAGCAAAGTGGTACTTTGAGAATCCTGGCTGAGAACCTTTGTTTGCACCACTGCATATAAAACAAGGGATACTGAATGAACTGAAACCCATTAATAGCCATCTATAATGGTACCACCGGGGTGCAACTTGAACCAAATCCTAACTGGCAAAAAGGCTCCTACATATAGACAATATGTAAGTCAAAATCAACATCTTCCATTTGACTTAGTGGAAGCACTTCCAAACTCTCAAATCTCAATAAGCTCAATATACTAGAAAAGCTCACAGTAATAAAACCTAACTGAAATACAGGAAACCCTCACTATGTGCAGGTTTGGCCTTCACCGTTTCAAATTTTCGTGAATGCTGAACTCACCTCTTAAGTACACCTATAGGAGTTCCTTGGGAGCTCCATGCTTGTCACCACCAGAGCAGCCGTGCCCCAGCCGCCAGGGGCACTGAGTTCATTAACGCAGACGGTGTTCATGAACACAGTGCCTTATTCACGGAATTCACCATTCATGGGGGATACGAGAATGTATCCCCCACGAACGGCGAGGGTCACCTGTACTGGCAGCATAAGCTGCAGTAAATCTATCCAGTTCAAATTAAACAAGAAATGGAAGTGTAAGCAAGCTTGAAAGTCAGGCAGTGTTTTCTCAATTGTTTCTGTCTATACACACCTGCTTAAAGTGTTACTACTAATAGCATTTATTGTTTTGTTCTTTTGATGAGATTCTTTTGAAGTCCAATGCTATAGCCTGATTCATCTTTTTAAAAGCGCTCTCACTAACTTTCCGTCCATGCATCATCTGAGAAAAATGTATTTTATCCCAATAAAGAAACTTAAGATTTACAAGCTGCTAAAATTAGGCAAAAAATATATTTAGGATACTTGAATTCAATTTCAAAAGACAGCTGAGCAAAATGTAGTTCTATTGAAGAAGGTAATTAAAAAACAAACAAAAAGCACTTTAGTCAGTGCTTCATACTGCTCAAGTCTGCATTCAAAGAATCTAATTAGCACTAAACTTATTGCATGCTCATTGAACAAGATGAAAGCTTATTGTGTTATATGGTACATTTTATGATGCACTTTAAAAACGTTTTAAATAACTTGAGTATTGCCATGCAGTTCTGTAATTGCAATAATCTGTATCCATTTCATTATTTATTGTAGGATACAAAATTGTTTTTCAAAAGTAACTCCACACCTTTCAAAATACTTGTACACGTGGATTCCTATGTGTATGAAAGTAATCCACGTTTTATAAATCACAGTTCATCCTAGTCTTGTTGACTTATTACTGTATTTAGAAAACTAGATTCCAATAGAGATTTTGGTGCATGCAAGTGACTAGTTCCCCCGGCCCTTTTTTTTTTTTCCCTAAACCAGCAGGCATTTATTTACTTTGCTAAGGTACAGTGAAGAATAGTTTTACTTGCATTTTTGAATGACTGTTTAAAATAAACTGACTGTATTGTTAAAACAGGTAAATATTAATCACAGTAATCATGTCAGTATGTAATATACACTAGAAAATACTTATTCAAGTAAAAATCCTGTTTAAATAGAGAGTAGTATCATATGTACAGAAATAAAGGGTTTTTCCATCAGTGTACAAATACTGGTTAGTTCATGTAAATTAGAACCTACCTCTAAGCTAGCACTGTAGTTTCAGTTAGCCTGCATATTCTATTTCCTTCTGACTGAGTCATTGAAATCAAGCCTGCAGATCCACTTTCCTTGCTAAACCCACAAAACAAAAAATGGAAGTGATCAGACACATCCCTCTATTGCAAAGCACTTTACTAGACTACAGTTTTGAAGGAAAAGGGGTTTTTCTTGATGTTTGCATTTCTTCTCCCTTCCCACCTTTGCAGTCTATTGGTACTCCTATATTAAAGAATACCCCTAAACATAACCCCAGTTCACTTTCAAGCACTGTCATTGCACAGCCCAGGAGCACCACTACTTCTGATATCTAGTAACTTTATTCCAACCGTGCAGTTTGTCCAAAATATTGCTGCAGAAAACCCTTACCTGAAAGGGCCAACATATACAGTGCACTTTTTTCAGAAATGCTCCTTATAAATGTTACTGTGCCTAGATTATAATAGATCTTTATTTTTTGTGTTCCTAGTTGAAATTTACATATTCAAGAGGAAGTATTTTCCTGCAAAGCATCCTCACTTTTCTGTTGGTGGATAGGGTAGGGTGGAATAGTCAGCAGTACTTGAGAGGTAAATACAACCAAACTCTCTCATAGTGACACCATGTGGGCAAACTGTTCAGTAATTTTTCAGTGGTATTAAGCATGTTCCCTGAGACTTTAGAAATACAGACCTAAGTTTCTTAGCTTGGAAGTTAGGTGTGCCTTTTCATAGAATGGTAGGGATAGAAGGGAGCTTGGGAAGTTGTCTAGTTCAACTCCTCAATACAGGATCATTCCCAAATAAAACCATCCCAACCAAGTAAGCATCTAGCCTGCTCTTAAGACTTCCAAGAATGATCTCTGTTCATAGACTGTTCCAATGTTTACCCACACTTTGTGAGAGTTTCCTTGCAGCAGTTTAAGGCCATTGCTCCTTCTCCTGCCCCATTCAACACTGGGAATATTCTACTGTTTCCTTATAACAACCCTTCAGGAATTTTAAGACTACCTTTTCTTATATTTGTGTGTTTCAACTGCAATGAACAGCTACTGGTTTCCCTTTATTTCCCCCTTAGTGTGGGTCAATCCAGGGCAAGGGATGGTTCTCGTTTGCAGAATGCTCCCACCAACACGAACTTTTACTAAAAATAAAGAATAGTAACAAGATGGAGTAGAGCTTCAACTATGTTCCTTTCTGATTAAAAATAAATTTTATTCTGTTTCAATAGCTTGGCATTTATCTCTCGGAGCCAAGACCAGTGGCCTGATAGAGCTATCTATTATTCAGTCTAGTAGCAGGAACCAAATCTTGCAGAAACCAATGTTTTGGTTAGATTGCTTTATATACACCAATATTTTTAATATAAAAAGGAACACGTTTATTATAATACAGGTTTAAGTATGCAAACAAGACCAAGAGTAGAGCAAAATGAGAATTTTAATAGGTAAATATTTGTGAAGCCAAAAAAAGTATGCTTCAGGTGGATACAATGCATTTTAAAAAAAGGTATTTTAGAGTGATCAGAAACATTCAGAAGTACTTATTGTCAAACAAACAAAACCCCAAAAATCAATCCACAGGCTCACTTGGATTGATACTCAGGGAATTCTTCTGTCTCAGATGAAGAGGCTTGCACTGAACACCTAAAACACAATAGGATAAAATGAGTTACAGTGCAATGCAAGTTTTTCATTATTTAGTACTGTACAAGATATCATCAGAAAACCTTTGCTCACCACTACTCAATCTGCCGGTAATTCCAGCAATTTTTGGTAAGTTTCATCATTTGATATCTTGTTCATAAGTTGCATCTCTCTCTTACCCCTCCCCCGAACAGAAGATATATTAAATTATGTGCTATATTATTATGCTATAAATATACTACAGTATTCACTCATGTCTCTGTATAAGGTGCAGCCAACACAGGTCCCATGTGCATCAAGTACTTCTAAAGTTTGCATCTTTTTAAAATCAATAAAAACAACTCTGCCACTTATGGTTTAGAAAAAGGCAACATCATCTTTAGAATATATATTTACAAGTTTTGTTGCCAACCCCCTACAGAAACAAAACCCCCCAAAACAACAACCAAACATTCTGATCTAGTTTAGTCTTTGAAGTTGTACTTGAAGATAAACAAACAAAACATCACACACAGGATTTCCACAATTTTAGCACTCACCTCTAAGGATTTCCACTGCCAGAGAGCTGCTTCCTCTTGGAGGCATCACCTCAAATCCATTGGAAAAAGCTGTAAAAAAACCAAACAACACTCAGAATCAAAAGCTGGCTACAGAAAGCTGCTGAATGTGTCTAGGTTCGCTACTGCTTCTAGGAATTCACGATCATTAGAAAGCATGCAATTAACCAGAGAAAGAGAACTGACTTTTATGTCCTAATAACCACATGCAGTATAATGGAATCATCTTAAATTTGAAGCTTCCTAAATGCCATTTAATATACGGAATCAAGTCTGCACCTTTCTTACAAAGTTTTGGTGATCCATAATCCACAGGCATGTTCTCAATTCAGTATAGCAAATTCAGTCTAAAGTATGTAGCTCAATGAGGTAGGCAGACCTTACCTTCAGCTCTGTCTCATGAGCTCGTTCTCCATGCTGTGTAGAAGTCTTACTCCTCTGATATACTCAAGTGCCCAGGCTAAAATAAACGGAAGTGACAGAGCACGTGTGTTACAAGAAGCGAATGCTTCAAGACATTACTAACATGAACATGCAGGGAGAAGACTCAATTTCCAGACAAAGCTACCAGTCCTCTCTAGGATGCTTTAGCCAAATTAAAACAGCTCCCAGCGCCATTGTCACTTTACTGTAACAAAGGCAACCAAGATTTGCATACAACATGCAAGCCTCCAGACCACGTGCGTTCAGTGTACAAATAGCTGTAGTTCAGACAAGTGAGAAGCTTATCGTCAGTTATCGCATCTGACGGCACTTCCTATTTACAGGTATCATCATTTCAACAGCAGATAACTTCCTACATTTCAGTCGTTTGAATGCACGGGTCATTAACTGCAAAAAAAACCCAGTACTTGCCTATTTTCCATACCTAAACCCCCCCCCATAAATGGGACTGGCCCTCTTTAACCAACCCAGAAATTGTCTTGCATTGTATTGCTTAATAAAATAAAGACGTAAAAAGCCTACCTTGCAGCTCAAGTCACCATTCTGCCCTAAAAAAAAAAAAAGAAGAGAGTGAAAAAAACATTCATTAGTTTGCTCGCACTTTTGTGGGGCAGTAAGATGGGCAGGAAACATTTCTAAAGGCAGATTCAGAAAAAAAACCTCTCACCACCACCAATCTGCCGGTAATTCCAGCTAATTTAGGTTTTGTTTCATCATTACCCAGCCCAGAGCCAGACGAACCATCGCCCCTTTTCAGAACACGTGTTTGCTGCCGATTCCCGCGCTCCTCCCCCCCGGAGCCCGCGCTGCTCACCGGAGACGCAGCCGGGCCGCGCATGCGCACACTCGTTGCGGCCTGCACGCCGGGCGCTGCGTGGCGACGCCCCGGCAGCCGTTGGGCTCCGCTCTGCTCGGCGGCGGCCATCGACCTGTAAGGCCGCGGCGCAGCAGCGAGGTCCTCGCTACCCGCCCTAGCTCCGTGGGATCCGCCTGGCCCGCCGATACAAGCTCTAGTAAATATCGCACGCTCCACACGCCGCCGACGGAAAAGAAGGAGCGGTTCTTGGTCGTTGGCTTTTAAAGGCTTGGAAGGTACCACCCTGACGGGGGGGAGGAGCGACTCACTGCGCTGGCGCGGTAGGACGCGACGTCTAACTGATGGTGGGGGGAATGGACTCTTCCACTCGCCGCGAGGGAGCCTGGCTGCGTTAGGAGCCCGCTCGGGGTCTGCTTTGCGGCGGAGCGTCTACACGTGCGCTGCACTGCCAAGTGGGCTCGTTAGCTCCTCAGTAAAGCCTGGCAGTACTATTAGGTCGGAGTAAATGAATTAATTCTGCAGTAGGGGCACACAAGGACTATCCCATGGTAGAGTTCTTGTGTGCACTTGCACATGCCTAGATGGGGACTGGGGCTTGAGGGTGCCTGCTGCAGCACCCTCGTGCCCAGCCACCGGCACTCACTTTGGGTCTTTGTCAGCGGGTGCTTGCAGATGTAAAAAAAAAAAACTCCAGTGCTTTACTTTAAACTCGGCGCTGAGCTCCGTGCATGCCCAGAAAAGGCAGTGCGTGACCTCAGCCTGGCTCTGCAGCATCTGTAGAGATTGGGTGCTTCCTTTCCTAGGGCTTTTTTGGCCCTTTTAGCTAAGAGCAGGCTGAATCAACTTTAGCTAAAAGCATTAAAAAGCCCTGCTGAAGTGCCCGATCTTTACAGACCGTGCAGAGCCCAGTGGAAGTAAGGCACTGCTGCTGGTGAAGCATGTTTTTGGGTGGTTTTTTTTTTTTTTACCAGCTGCCAAAACTGCCATGGCTTAATGGGTGCTGAGCACCTGCTAATTATTTTTGGTGGGTGCTTGAGCCCTGGAGCACCGGTGCAATCAACTAGCCGGCCCCTCCGCAGCATGTTGAGCCAGGGCAGAGCAACCCCACGCTGCCAGACTGACCCCCCTGACTCAATGTCCTACCATCTGGAGCGCAAGTCTAAATGTTGCACCCAGGAGCAATTGGCTCCAGCACAAACAGTGCCAGAGTTTATTCAGGTGTATTAGTTGCATGTGTAGATGCGCCTGCAGTTAAACAAAACAGGCAGTGGGCCTAGGAGTTGTTGAGCATTTTATGCCTTTCACTGGCATGCAGGTAACTGCTGTTTAAGACATAAGCAGCAGGGAAAAGAATGGGACCTGTGCTGTGTTGGGCAACGCAGCAAATTATACTTGTATTTATTATGCACAGAAGTGGGGTATGCTCCATCTGCCTCCCTGAAAAACACCTGAAAGCACAAGGCTTCCAGTGGAGGTGAAAGGTTTTCCCTTTTCCTATCCAGGTGACCGGTTAGGGAATGCCAATCTATTCTTGAATCACAAATAGCTCTGAAAGGGGCCTTATGAAGTCCTGTAGCTCAGCCCTCTGCTTAAGGGGAAGTAAAAGTGTCGTGCGATACCTTAAGGCCAGTTTAAGTTCAGATCACAAGACCATACTGTAAAGCAAGGGAGGCCAACATGCATGAAGAGTGCCACAGTTACGAGAGAAGACAGGGAGGAGAAAGAACAGCAGCAGATCAGGCAAGGGAAGGGAAAACTGGACTGGCACTTGGAAAGATGCAGAGGCAATTTGTGGCATGCCTGCCAGAAAGGTTGGGCCCCACTCATTTTTCATCCCCACTGCAATCCCAAATGAAGCATGGTAATTGCATCCCTTTTTCTTTTGTAAACATACCTGCTTGCTAGGGTCCTGAATATATAGGAGCCAGCCCTTTCTAAATACCCCCACCTGTGAACATCAGTAAACTAGGAGAGCAGCATAATTTTAAGTAGCTTTTGTTTGGAACACTTCCTGCTTATATAAATAGGAAAATACTTACGCTTTTATTTGTCTTGTCCTTGCATTAGAACAAAACATACCTTTGCTTTCCTTTTATTTTTGGTCTTGGTTTTAAAGCCCCAAAAGCCTCAGTTCTTGCAAATGGCTTTGGGCGGGGAGACTACTGTGTAAGGCACAAGCTGTTGCGCCACGAAATCAAACATTACATATCTATTGCTTTTGTTCAGTCGAATGCAGTCACCTATACCACTCACTAAAAGATTTAATCTTTGAAAAACAGCACTTGTAGGGGCAGGGTGGTCGTATAAGAATTCAAACACTCCTTCCCTTTCCTTAGCGCAACTTCTGTAAACAAAAGCATCAAATTGGTTTCCAAATCTTACAGACTTTCAGCCACCTGCATTCATTTTAATAGAATACACAAGTCACACTACACTTACTAACAAACTATTTCTCTCACATCAAATCACTATAAGATGTCCTTTTAGGTCTTTTTGGTCCTTTATTGTAGGGAAGCTACATTTTTTTTCCTTTTTGCCTTTTGCGTCAGAGCTAGGACTGTCTAGCCTAAACGACTAAATAAAACTTTAAAAGGCTAGTGAATGGCCGACACTGCAGGAACCAAGAGAGTGATAAAGCTGAACAAACAGAGAGGGAATTTTAGCAATGCTGCTTAAAACATGACCTTTGGTTAATTGTTTAATATCACTGATGAATTAACATTGAGGAAAGGATATCTTTTAGACCCAAGACGTTTAGTTAAACTGCAAGGATTAAAAATATACACTGCATCACAAGCAAAAGGAGTCCCAGCAAAATCAGGGAAAACCACAGACAACACACCTCAACACCCCCCCACCCAACCAAACACCCTTCCAACCCTCTTTACTTACCATAAAGAAGCAAAGATGGGCACACATCTATTTTCAAAGGTCTCATTTTTAACAGTACACTTTGATTTCACTTGCAATTAGGGCCATGAAGGTCTTTGACAAGAGATTTAAGCAATAAATAGAAACCAGAGCTGCCTCAATAGAGGGCCTAGACGTGAGCCATCTTTGCATTGGTATAATGTACATCAGTTTTGTAGACCAGTGTAAATTAATTGGGAGCCAAAATAACTAGCAATACCAAGGCAGATGCATAGAGGAGGAGTTGTTACAGTGCTTTACCGGTAGGTGGTGCGAACAGCAAATAGTTGTTTGCTCAAGGCAAAAATGCTATCTCGGGGAAGCTGCAATATGCAACGCTAACCCCCTATATCAAGGCTATTTTACTTGGGGGGGTTTTCTAGGGTAATTCTACACAGGACTTGAGCAAGCTGCACTGGTGCAGGGCTGTGCATTGTGTGCCATCCTTCTTCACAGTGCCATAAAGGTATCCCGTACCTGGGCCAGCAAGGACACAGCAGCATGATGATAATGGCTCCGGTTCCTCTAAGAGAGAGGGGTCGTTGTCTGTGTTGGCTTCAAGTCGGGCAGAAGGCAGGGCAGGGTGGCACCTTAGAGACTAACTGGCTTAGAGAATAATAAGGCTTTTGTAGACGAGAGAGGCTTTGCTTATGCCAGAAGATGCCCACATTTAACTACTAATGCTGACTGAATTCTTCTGCTTCTGAACAGTTGCTCTATTGGTATTTTCCTTTTCCAACTGTTTTGAATTCCTTCTTCACCAGCCCTCTATATGAATGATGTTCCAGAGAAGCTCACTGGCCAGGGACCTCATAAACAATATGCTAAAGCCCACATTGCTCTGCATTGGCTCATCTGTAGTTCGAGGATCTGTCTCCGTACAACCCAAATAACCTAGCAAGAAGACACCATTTAAAGACACTTATCAGGCTGTTAGGGATGAGGTCTCAGCTGTATTATTATATATTGTTCTATTTGAAAAGCTTTGTGTGGGGAAACATGAATGGAAGCGCACATCAAAGCGACCCATTACAGTGATCAGATATTGCAATCATTTACTCTTGTTTTGAGCAGGATTTTTATGAGCCATGTTTACCAGACTGTACTCAATATTAAATACAAAACCAAGGGTAAGTGTCACAAAAGCAAGGGAACAGTTAAGGCTCAACGCCCAGTAAGTCACCAGACCAGCTAACCCTTTCGTATTCAGTTCTCGTAACTCGTCGCCCATTTCATATATTGCTGTTTGTATGTGCAACAGTGTGACAGAGGAAGCTAACTGCAGGCTCCTTGCTTTTGGAAAGCCCCAAACCTATTTTAACATAGTATAAAAATAGAAAACAGAATAAAACAGTTGTTAAAAAAGAAAGGTGGGGAAGGAATGCCACTGACATTTTAGCTTAACAGGACCAACCAAGGAAATCGGGAACAATGCATCGCCAAATTTTGGCAGGCAGTATTTTTACCAACGTGTTTTGTTTACCAGAAGCTGATGTACTCAAAATACTCTTTTCCCAAAATTGTGGGCAGTCAAAATAAATGCCACAAACAAAAATCAGCTACACACTGATCAAAATTTACCTATTTAGAAAGGGGACAAGAGTTAAGCAAGGTGAAAGTAACAAGTCAACCATGTGCACATCCACATGTACTATACAATAAGAACATTCAAAAATATTGACATGAGACACTGATCCTCTATTTTTTTCCTTTTCTCTTTCAATCATATATATATATATATCTATATATATTTATATATTTAAACAGCACATATGAAAACACCACTATAGCTTTCACTGTAGCCAACAGGAGAATTTTCACAAATATAAAAATTAAATTTTTAAGTTTTTAAATTGTTAAATTTCTTCAAACATAATACAGCTATACTGAAAGAAAATCTTTAAAATTGTTTCAACATTTAAACTCCAAAATAACCCTCAGGAATTTGCACACGTCGGTCAAAGATCCAATTCTGTGGTCTTGAACTTGTCAATCTTCACTTAAAGCAAAAATTAATTATCACCAAATGAATGAAGCAGAATCCTTTTTGACATTAGTCTGGTGGTGCTGCTTTGACAGTATTTTCAAAAGTTATTTTTCTAGGATGTCTGGTTTAGATTTGCATTTAGCATTTTGGAGGGGTGGAAGTCAGCAATCCCTCCAAGCTTTACCCTTGCTGGCCATCTGCCCAGGAAGCATCATTGTTATTAGTTTATAAGAAAAAGGCAGGTGCTGGCACCAGCTCTAAGGGCCAGGCAATGGTGATTATTATGAAGTTCCCTGTTCTTTGGATGAACTGTGTAAAACATTTTCTTAAAAGATCCTGTGTTAAAAA